AGACGTCTCGTGAGATACAGTATTTGTTACAATGTCAGAAGATGTAGAAATTGACGGTAAGGTGAAATAAGTAGATTCAGACGTCTCGTGGGATTCAGTATTCGTTACAATGTCAGAAGATGTAGAAATTGACGGTAAGGTGAAATAAGTGGATTCAGATGTCACAACGGATTCAGTACTTGTTACAATATTTGAAGATGTAGAAATTGGTGACAAAGAGGATGACGATTCAGATGTCTGATGAGATTCAGTACTTGTCATATCAGATATTGTCGAAATCGGTGGTAATGTAAAATCTGTGGATTCAGAAGTCACAGATCCAGTACTTGTTACAATGTCTGACGATGTCATTGATGAACTTGACGATGGCATATTGGAAGTGGAGCTTGGTAAACCAGTTTCGGTTGAAAACCTTGTCGAATCAGTCATCCCACTGGAAGTACTTGGTAGTAATGTTATAGTGGACTCTGTAGTACTGAATGGAGAAACAGGTGTACCAGTGTGAGTGTCACTTGAACTAGAACTTTCATCGGTGTTTGTTGATGACGTCATTGTAATATCGTTTGATGATGTTAACGTTGTATCTGTTTGGATATTTGAAGGAGTTGTACTGAAGGAAGTAGAAACGGACGGCGTTATTGGTTCATTGCTAGTCGTGTCAATATCTGAGACAGTTTTCATAGAATTTGAGGAAACATCTGTAGAGTACGTTACACTAGTTGTAGGAGTTTCTGGTTGATTGGTAGTAGATGAGAATGTTGGGTTTAAAGTGCTTGCTTCTGTTGTTATATGATCTGTGGTATCACTAACTGTTTGAGAAGAACTAGGTGATGTAATTGGTGATAAAGAACTTGGTTCTGTTGTACTTGGACTATCGGATATTATTGGAGGTAAAGTTTCCCATGATGTTGAAGGTATCGGCTCCGTAGGTATTGGAGGTAAAGATTCATCTTTAGTAGTTTGACTAGGAATAGTAGATTTAGTAGATATGTATGGCAAAGGTGTTGTTAACGTTGTTGGTAATAATGTTGGACCGCAATGTGCCAAAGAATGTAGAATGCAACTCTGAAAAATAAGATCATATTAAGAGTAATGTAAAGCGACCAATTTAAAGTGTTTCATTTTACACAGAATTTTGTCTGTATTAATGGAGTAGTAAATTTAAACGTTCTGATTATTCCGATAAGCTTTAGCTAAGAATACAATTCTTATTGACGTCATTCTATTGTTAATTTGGATACAGTTTAATTACTTTAGCTACGATCTATGTGTAATTTATTGTATGTAGTATTATTATGTAATAGATACCAATTGCATCATACATAAACTTATGGTCTATAAGAACTTTCTCGGCTATTTAAGTGTGGACACCAAAATGTGTATAGAAACTTCAAACATCCACTTTCTTTCTTGAAAATGTAAAGTGCCTTTTGACTCTCTTTCTTTACTCGGCTCAAATATATTGTTCTAGTAATCTTATCAAGCACTAAAATATGGGTTTCTAAGACTAAAATCTCTATATAAAACATATCGTCCTCCCTATCATTATCTTTGACAAAACAGAGCTAACAATATGTTTTAACCGAGGATTTTGAAATCCTCTTGAAATTGTCTTAGAAATCCACGGTGAGTTGTGTGACAGCTTTTATAAGCAATACTATGGTACGCTTTGTGGAAAAAGGTCTTAATTTTTAAGACTTACCCTGATGATGACGTCAAAGTACAAGTCCCCAGGACAAGTGTGTTCTGAAAGTTGTTCCTGTTCGCATATGATGAACTTCTTACAGGAAAGTGGGTGAGAGAGCACGTCGGACTGCAGACCCTTGCATAGGTCCCCCAGGACTTTGGGGATAAGTGTCAGGAGAAGAAACGTTAGCTCTGTGGAGTGCACGCAAATGAACCTTAATGTCTTAAACAAAAATAGCATTAATAAAATTTAAAAAAAACAGATAATTTTTATCGATAAAATCGCATTACGAATGATGTACATCACTATGCACTGCCATAAAGTGTATAAGTGCGAGTGAGCGTAAAATATGCTTCGCTCTACTCTGACTTTTGAATACCTCATATTTTTATGAATGGACTATCATTCGCCCGCGCGAAATTAAAAAAAAAATTAGTCTATGTGTTTTTCCAGATTATCTATACATCTATGTCAAATAACAGCATAATCCTTAGAGATGTTCTGGCGATATCTTCAAACATCCATCCATCTAAACATTCGCATTATATATATATATAAAAGAAAGTTGTATTAAATACACTATTTATAACTCAAGAACGGCTTTACCGATATGGCTGAAAATTGGAGAGGAGGTAGCTTAGAGCCAGGAGACGGACATAGGATATTATTTAATCATTTTCTTTGGAATTTATGCCTTGAAAAGTTGCTTTCTATTTAACGTACTAATATTATAAATGCGAATGTTTAGATGGATTTAATGTGGACGGATTCGCGGGCAACAACTAGTTTATAATATTAGTAAGAAATAAGATAACTATAATAAAATTCTTGTTTAAAGTTGTATTTAAAGTTAATTTAGTAAATAGCCTTCCATCTCTATCTAACTTATAGTGAAAGATAAGGATGGCATGTTATAACAATTTTATTATCAAAAAATGTTACTCACCCATTCCTCAGCATGGGTCTCGCAAATCCACCACAGTTGTAATGAACGCAATGGCGGTGCGTATTGCTCTAAATTAAACTAATAACATAAACTTTAAATAATTACCGTAGTAATCGATTGGTAATATAATTTGATTTGTCATGACTTTTTAGGTAAACGTCGATTGGATAGATACGGTTGTATACAGCGTGTTTTATTTTCCTTTCATTTCTCTGACATAAAACACGTGTTTACTATGGATTTCTAGTGAAACACAAGCATATATAGTTATCTCTCTCTTTCTAAGTGAATGAAAGGGATGGCTATATGCTATTGTTTTAGCAGAGAAAATTCAGTGATATTTCCTTAACTAATTGGAACAATAAAAAACATTTTTTAGTTTATATAAAATATCAAGATTTCCTTTAAAAAAATCATTGAATTATACACAAAATAGTGAACACATATTATTTTTATTTAATCAATCATCTTCATCATCATCATCACTATTTTCTTCTTCTCTTCTCTTCATCTTGGCTTCCAGTTCTTTAGCCGGGTTGAAGACGCCACTGGTTTGTGTATTACAAATGTAACAACGCGAGGATTTCTTGTAGTTCTCAAGAGCGCACTTCTCACAAAAGTAATGTTTACATCTACAAACAAAACATATGTATGAAAACTAGCTATAGCCCGCGACTTCGTCCGGAATAAAAAAAAACTTAATACTCTATGTGTTTTTCCAGACATGTTCTACATCTATACCAAAATTCAACAAAATACATGGAGCCGTTCTGGAGATATCTTCTAACAAACATCCATCCATCCATACATTCAAACATTCGCATTTATGATATTAGTAAGATTCCATTAAAATTTTAAAAACACATGGAGACATAAAAATAACATTCAACCATAAATTCCAACAAAAACCAAAGTCTGTTTACATTTTTCCAGCAGTGAGAACTGGATTGGATCGCTGGACTGGAAACATGTAAACTGGGCATAACTTACTTAGTAACAACAGGATCTGTGAAACTCTCCCTGCATATAAAACATTTGAATGGCAGTTCATCATCACTGTGTATCTCATAGTCGGAGTCATCCCCTCCATCTTTAGTCCCTCCCCCTTCCAGTTCCTCCCTCTCTAACTGCCAGCCGTGCTTGTAGTCTGAACGGTCATGGAGGAACTTGCACGAATCTAAAAATATCTATTCTTTCAGTAAAAGCAATGGATGATATAAAAAAAATTGACACGAGGCAGAAATATTAATTACCAATGCTTAATTTAAAACTAAAAAAAAAAACAAAATAAGACAATTGTGGGGAAAAAAATAAATAAATAAGTTCATTTAAAGCATCATGTTGGCCGTTTACAAACAGATATTATTTCCAATGTATTCTTAAAATTTTATATTAAACTACATTTTGCAAGCGACTTTTTCAGCGTTGAATTAAAAAAATCCTAAGTTAGTCAGCGATAGTAACTTTCTATAGACAAAGGAATTTTTGAAATCATTCAAGTAGTTTTTGAGTTTATTAGTCACATACAAAAATACAAATCTTAACTCTTAACAATATTACAATTGACAAAGATTATAAACTAAATATTTATTCCGTAATATATTAATTAACCAACCTCCAAATCCACAGAAGCCAGTTTCCTTGTAATCTTTACAAATATCAGGCTGATAATCCCATCTGTTGAAGGAAATATTTATTTATTTATTTACCTGGTAAACTTACAGCTAGAAAGTAACAATAATAGACACAAGAACATATATGAAATGTGTTTAAATTCAATTTACATATAAACAAAATATGTCACAATAAAAGTATTATTACTAAGGAACTAGTGTTAAGTTCACAAAAAAAGGTTTTAATTTTTTTTTTATCTTAAAATATTAGCAGATTTGTTTTTTTTTTGTAAATTTACTAATATTTCTTTTACCATTCCAACTAAGCTGTACGCTTGTGCTAGGATATGGTTTACGACAATAGTCGAATGGCGGGTTTCGAACCCCCGACCTCGTGATCGGAAATCCGTACCCTTAACCATTAGGCTATTGACGCTTCAAATTAAATTACATTTTAACTTATAATTCTCGAATTAAATAATAAGAATACAATTTTTCAAACGCCAATAGCCAAGTTAAGGGTACAAAGCCCTTCATTCGACTGTTACCGTAAACCAAACACAAACCTACAGCTTATTGGTAATGGTAAAGTTAACCCCTACCTATTTATATAAGCGTCTCGGAGGCCTAATTTAGTCTTCTTTCCCTTCCTACCCTTTTTCTTATAAGGAAAGGATGGGAAGTGGACTTTCCGGATGAAAGGATGCACGGAAAGGGAAAATATTTTCTTTCTGTGCATCCTCTCCTCCGTCGATTAAAGGTAGGCAACGCATATGCGATTGCGTATGTCTATGGGCAACGGTTACTTCGCCATTCAGCGATTTCAGATGGCCGCTCGCTTGTTTGCCACCTTATGATATTAAAAAATATATTTGTAAATTAAAAAAAACTTTGTATTAAGTTTACCTGACAGTAGCTCTTAAGTTAGCTGGTGCTCTCATTGGTCCTTTCCTGACAAGTCCTGAACTAGCATTACCCGCAGCTGTATCACGTTTCTTATAATATTGTGCATAGTTGTTTATACCACGGTACACCTACATCATATTTAAAAAGCCAAGTTATAACACGAAGATCTTGACATTTGATAGAGGGCGCTAGTGTGCTATCATAATTTACTTTGACTTATGCCCACCGGTTTAAATAGCTAAACTAAACTAAACTAAAACCTCCTTCTTTATTTCCTTTTTTAAGAATAAAACAATAATGTATATTTAATTAATATGCAGTAAAGAGTAATAAGAGCGTCGGTGGCTTAGTGGTTAAGCACTTGACTTGTAATCTGCAGGTCCTGGGTTTGAATCCTACCATGTACCAATATGTTTTTTGATTCACATATGTACATTTATTCGACATCCTTAAAGTGTAAGAAAACATTGTGATGCTGCACATATTTAAGAAATTCAAAGATATATGTGAAGTCAACCCGCACTGGACCAGCATTGACTATGACCTACTCACCTACCTGAGGGTAGGCTCCGAGAACCAGTGGGGAGATATAGTGAGCTGATGATTAAACATATATCTAAAGATTACCTTATCGTCAGCTTGCCCTTGCAATTCTTCATTTATTTTTTGTGCCTTTTCAAATATTGCTTGTGCATCTTTATCTCTTTCAGTGTCTAATTCATATGTTGCGGTTGCGTTCTCACGTTGTTGTTGAACAGATAATGTTGTACGAGATTTGGGAATCTGGAAACGGGTTATTCAGAAACCTGTTAGAACATGTTTTAGTACAAGTGTAAAACTGTAGCTTTAAAACACCTTCTATATAGTCATACTGGTGTTATTCTTATGCATTTTATTACTATTAACATGTTAGCTGCCAGAATAATTTTTTTAAAAAAGAAAAAAAAATATTTTGTCCAAAACCATTTGACACTTATTATTTACATATGAATGGAAGTATGGCTTGTACGGCCTGATTGAAACATTAGCATGTTGGACATATAGTCTGACATGGCAGCTAAAGTGTTAAACATTATGTTATAAGCAATTATTATTTTAATTGAAGTGTTTTTACATATTATAAAAATTCATATTTCATACACATGATGACATCTTAGCTGATAATAAAAGTAATGTTTTAAATTAATATTTGTCTGTCTGTCCATAAGGCTGCATTTTTCTGGCTAGATGATTTTGACGGCCTTGTAAGTAAAGATAGCTGATGAACATGGGCATATTATGCAGTGATGAAGTCACATGCATCTGCTAGTTATGAGTAAAATATACAGAAACATTACTGGTAGTCACCAAATTATATTGCATTAACAAATTCCATGGCACTTTGATTGTTTAAGTGAACTTACATGGCATTATGTTAACAAAGTACCAACATACCTTATCTTCATCACTGTTGTCATCACTGTCTTCCAGCTCCGGTTTTTGTCGTTTTGGCCCTCCTGTCGACTGCATGTTAGGGTTGGGCTTCTGAGGCCTCTTTGTTGGCAGCACCACAATTTGTTCATCAGAATCTGAACTGTTCTTTTCTGAAATATTGATAATACTACTATGAGTTTCGTATTAGGTGTTAAATTTTGAACTTGTAAAAACTAAATAAAACAAAAAAATGCAAGTAATAAATATAACCTATGTTTCACGGTGATAATTTAGCATTCTACTGGCAAAAGGGTTTTTGGTCCAGTAGTTTTTTCATTAAATACTCCTTTCTTTTTATACTATTAGTAATGTAGTATAGATATAGGAGAATAGGGACACAAAGTGGACTAGAATTTGGCATCCAGCTTCAGCACTTATCAGATGAAACAATGAATAACTTTCTCTTAACACATGTCATCTGTGTAGTCGGAGTATTGCATGAATTGAGTCGGGCATTCATCCAATGAATGTATGCAGTAAGTGGTTGTGAGGAAAATTGGACTGTTATTTACCTTCAGAACTTGATGTTTTTCTTTTCCTTCCACCTCTATTCTTGATATTTCTTTTTTTAAAAGTCGTTGGGATTTCAACCTCCACATCTGACATATTGTCAAAAGTAAAAATTTACTTAAATGTAATAAACAAACTTTTCTTTATCCCTAGATAACTATACGGAATAAGTAATTTAAAATTTTGTTTATTACTTATAAACTATTCGTATTGTTTACATCTCAATTGTCAAATGTCATTTTAAATTTAAGGTTATATTTTGAGTTGCGTTCAGATTATTAAAATGTTCAAAAAGTTGCGATTGTTAGTATTGTAAAATTTCAATTATAAAATTATATTATATTTTAAAATCTCACAATTAAAATTGGTGAACATTAATTTTTTTTTAAATTAATCAATAAGAAAACTAAATACAAGGTGTATTCCCTTACTGTCTTAGCTAAAGTTATTTGATGGTTACTTGGGCAAGCCCTTAGTGAATATTTTTCATACTAAAAATCCATCGCAGATTCCTTTATAATATATTGAAGTAAGGTATAGCATGAGTGTTACAGTGACAGTTACTGGGTTCAAAAAA